GATGGAGGGAGTGGGATAAAGAAAGATGGCAAGGCAGCTATCGGGTATTAGTCTCACTTATTGTCTGCTTCAGTAGCCGATATGTCTGTGGTGGTGATGATCCCGGACAACTCTAGTTTCATGGCCAAACACAGATGTCAGCAGTAGCGGCCTCGTCCCGTACAGCTGCCTTACACCACCGCAGGCTTGTGCTTCAAGAGGGCAGCCAGAAGCCAGTGGTGGAGAGCTAAGAATAAAACGAGTGTTTCAGCACTGTTGTCTGTGATGGTCCTGGTTTATGTGTAGGATCTTTTTAGGTTAACACTGCTCCGGGCTTGGGTCTGGGTCTGGTCTGGCTTCTTCACTTCTGCTTGAGCCAGGCCAAGACATATACTCCTGGTCATTGGCATTGAGATGGAAATCTAAACAGTGGAGCGGCTGGCCGAAACAAGCGTCCCTCTCAAAACCAGACTGCTACCCCTCCTCTCGTTCACTGCAGCCCTCAGCCACCACTTTATCACCCCGTGGCACTGAATGGGCCCCCTTCATGTTGGTCGGGTTTATGACCCTGCGTTCTCAGACCAGGGGTCCAGATACGGATCTCCATCAAAGGCCCTCTCAGATATCACTGCCACCTCTGGTTTTCTGTGGATAGACTTGTCTGCTTTAAAGAGACGATTATAAGCCCTTGGCAAGTAGCCAATACCTCCTTTCTTTTCCCTGCACCGCGTCGTGACCCCGCTGATACGTACCTGTGTGCATGTAGGGATATTAAGGAAGGGTATGACCCTCACCTGAACCCACAACTCACCTCATTTCCCACAGGAAGTGGCAACTTAGCCACAGGAAATGGACTCTTCTGCTGATAAATAAAGCCCACCATACTCTCACATGCTTTGAAACTGATATAAATTAAATGATAATTTGACCCTAACGTGTTTCACTTTTCACAAACCCAGCTTTGAATAGCCTTTTAGATGTCATCCTGATTTATTTATTTTTTTACAGCCGACTCTCTTCCTCACATCAAACTCTACCACCCATTGGATGAACTCTGGAGTTCTATTTATAACTCAATGGCATGATAGAAAGCATATTGTCCCCCATTTGTTGGGTCTGGTTGCCTGCTTTGCTTGTATCATTGCATCACTCTGAGCGGAGGCAGCAGTCCAGGCTTTATGAATGAACCAAGTCTCCGCCAGAGGCTGGGAGATGGCACTGATCCCACTGTGATGTCACTCCAGAGACGAGCAGAAAAGAGGGAGCATTATGAGACCTCCCATTCATTCTTCCGTCGCTCTCTCTCCCCGCTGTGCCCACCCCTGGCTCTCTCGTCCTGTGATGGGCTCATATTACAGGCCGGTGACTCATCCCCCGCCCCTCCATACTCGGTCATCCCTCACCCACCCGGGATCTTCCCCAGCCCTGATCCTGCCCTGCCCATCTCCGTCTGTTCCTGCTCCACAGACTTTGGCCCCAGCCGCAAAAAAAAAAAAATCCCAATTTCACACCCACGCTCTGGCGCACAGGCGAAGAAGGCTGCTAATTTGGTTCATGTGTGTATATGTGTGTCAGTTGAACAGCTTAAGGTGCAAAACAGAACCCCGGTCTAAGGTTGGGTTGGGGCTTGGTTACAAGGGCAGTGCACGGTCTGTCAGTGAGAATCCCTCGGGGGAAATATGGTCGTCGCACTCAGCAGCCCTTCCATTACTCATATCATGGCAAGAGGGGAGTAGCTAATCAATACCTTTTACTGTAAATCCAGACTAAACATCAGTCTCACTTCATCAGCGATTCTTAGAATAGATGGACTTATTATTCCCTCTACATCATTAGTAGCAATTGGTGTCATTTCGTAAATTTTCACTCCAGCTGCTCTTTTTACTCGTTTTAGTTGTTAGTGAAATGCCATAATGTTGCATGTGATTTACACCCACTCCCACATTTCTTGAGCTAAGTGGATGGAACTCATTTTGTGGACAGACCCACACCGTCTAATGTGGAAAGTGATGACTTGTGGATGCTCTAACTCTCAGTACATACTGACCATTCTGTATCTAATGGGACTCGCAGGCATTGAAATCCTATCAGGACTTCATCATTTACTAGAGATTGTCTAGATCCGAGCTCGCCTCTCTCGCTAATGGATGCACACTGTACATTAGCTCTGCCGCAGATAACTTTCACATGGATCACTCACCATGGAGGCTGCTCTGCTATCACTGCACTCTCTGCTCTTTTGTTTTCCTTTCAGCCTTGCCGTGTCCTCTGCTTCATCTCTTTAAGATTTCGATTCACAAAAACACAACAAAGCGATGCACATACATATAAAGCACTATTAAGACAGTAAATTGTTACGTTGAAAATGTAATTTGTGTTTTATAGCAACTGCTGTACAGTCACCTAACAGCCTTGGAGCAATAAACAAACTTAGAAGGCATTTGTGTGCTTTGCATTGCTGCAAGACATTAAACAGAAATCCCACTTCAAAACTCATTTCAAACAAGAGAAATAATTAATTCAAATTAAGAACAAAATAAATCAAACAAATTGTCAGTTCTCATTTAAATTTGCTCTATAATCATGGTTGACATATTTCTCTCTTCAGAGTGCCTAATGGTAGTTCTCGTGCGCGATGGTGTTTAGTGTCTTTGATGGAGGATTTAGTGCTAAAGTGGGTTCAAGTCTGTGTGGCCTGCGCAGGCTGGGGCTGGGTTGATAAAAGCGATGGAGAGGGAGGGGCATAAGCGGTTCGAAAGTGCAGACAAACTCTGCTCGATCCGGCTTAAATAAACTGCCACATTTCACCCCCTGCCTTCACATCAAAGCGCAGACTGTCTGAGCCCCAGTCCCATCTCAGCTTGCAGCCGTTTGCAGCATGTACATTTGAGTGTACACCAAAAACGTGAGCTCAGCAGAGGCCTACACAACCCGGCTGTCAGGAGCAACTTGTACATAAAGAGAACTCGCTCAGGTCTTATTTACATTGTGAAACTGCTCATTTTATTTTTATCCGCCAACTGTCTGACAATAGTTAAACTGGGGTCTTTATATAAGGCTGTATTCATTCAAGTCGGAAGTAAAAGCAAGGTAGAAGAGCAGAGAATAAACAACTTTCTGTTTGTTCACCAACAGAGTAACAGAGAGCAATATATTATTGCATGCCTAATTGAATCACAAGAAGAAGCAAAGGGCTTTTGTCTGTCCTCTGTCTCCGGCCTGTTGCGAGGCTTCTTTATTTAGAGGGAGGGGGGGGGTACAGAAAAAAAGAAACTGGGAGACCTAATTTTACAAACAGCCAGACAGCCATTGGTTGCATGGGCAAAAGAGGGACAGCTGCTGAGCATTCCAGTCGAGGTCGAGACGTCAGCGACTGGTGAAAACAAGCATGAACTGTATGTTGCCCCAGTGTACTGCTGGCAGATAAAACCACCAGCCAGTGGAGCCCGAACATCTGGGTTCGACGAATGCCGTTGCTGTGAGAGGAGTGACACAACTCTCCCTCATCACGGTTTTTCCTTCAAGCAAAGACTTCTGTGATTTGCCTTTAACGATTTGAATTGACGCGCAAACGGAGAGCGACCGGAGGGATGAGCTAAAGAGAAAGACATGCTCAATAAAAAATCAAAGCCCGATTGAACCCTTGAATTTGTGTGCACCTTAACCCGCTGAAGCCCCAAGATGTTGAAGTTTTGTCCCACGCACTTTCAGCCCCCAAGATTAGACACGATTCAAACAGATCATTATATACGTCTGTCTTTGTTGTGTAAATGAGTGTGGGCGCTTTGCAGATTGAATGAGGCATGTCAGCTAATTGAACTCTATAAGGCCTTTTTATGTCTATTTACAAGTCATTTGTTGAGTCTTTGCCAGATTAGTTTTTAGCAGTCTATTCTTGTGTTAGTGGCCCGGGGGTCTTTCCCCTTCTCCCCTGCTTTGCCCTCTCATCCCACACTTTTCTGCAGACTGTTCATTCTAATTAGATGAGTGCGAGTCATCAGGCACTGTTTAAAGCCATCAAAGGGAGCTCTGTTCCGCACTGGGTTGCCCACTGGCTGTGAGCAGAGAACAGAAAGCCCAGTGTGTGACAGAGACCCTCGAGAGAGAGCCCACCCCCCCCCCCCCCCCAAACTCTCCTAGCCACCCGCCAGCAGCCGCTTGTGACGTCATCACCTCATCCCTCGACCCTTGACCTCTCAAAATGTTTGACCCCATGCTTGGTCCGGTGACAGTAGGCCCACTGTGCAAGGGCAGCATGGTAGGAGGGCTAGCAGGGGTTCATGGGGTCAGTGATGGGCACCAGACGCAGCTCTCCCACCCAGCATGTGGTGGTAGGAGAGCTGTTAGTGTTTGTAGTATTTTCAAGTAAACTTGTGTGTTTATTTTAATGCAGAGTGCCAGATGAGTCCTGCCCTACGACTCCAAACAACTGCCAGGAACTAGACATTTGTAAAAGAAGAAAAAAAAAAAAAGTGGTTGAAGCCATTCTCTGAACTGTCCCAACTCATCGTGCATTACATTCTGTTTAAAAACTGTTGAAACATTGTTTCCACTATTCAGCCTTTTTGAAACATGCACATGTGCAAAAATAGTGCACATGCAGTGTTACCTCTGTTTGTAAACAGTTCAGATGCGACAGTGTGACAGGTCTTGTTTAAATAGATTGGATCTGATGCAGAGACATTGTCTGTCTAGACAGGATGTAATTGTTTAGCCATGTTGTTGATCACGGCCTAATACAACTCTGTGTGTGTGTGTGTGTGTGTGTGTGTGTGTGTGTGCGCGTGGGTGCATGTGTGTGTCTGTGAGAATATCTAACTGAGCCACATTCACAAGTTCTCTTTCTCACCCCACGTTATCTGTCTCAATTTAATTTTTCGCTCAGTAATCTTTCTCAGCATGAAATATAATACAGGATGCATTGTCAGTTGTCAATAATAATTAAAGCAGAATATGATATTAACATATTTGTAATTGCAATAATAACATAATCAATTTCATTTTTGATTTGTGACCTGCAGATCCAGAGTGTGGAGACGTCCCCCTGCTAACTCCAGGAAGTAAAGAGATGATGTCACAGGCTCTGAAGGCCACCTTCAGTGGCTTCACAAAGGAGCAGCAGCGGCTGGGTATTCCCAAAGGTAAAACTGTCAGCTGCTTGTGTTCTTATTAGCCCCTGTTAACATTTATTTTTTTAGTGGAAGTTAAATGCATGAGCCCTCAGAAAACTCTTTTTCGCCTTGCACGTTCACATTCAGATCAGTTCACATTATAGCCTGCTTTAAATCATTCAGTGAAGGCATCTCTTAGAATGACTGAAAACAAGGAGACACCCAGTTATTCCAGAAATGGCCTCATATTACATACATTTCCGAACGGGCAGACTGTCTGACTGCAGCTTCCAAAGAGTGAAATACTGAGTTAGGCCGACCACAGAGCCTCTTCATGCTGTTTGGAAAGAGCTGGACTCTCAGTATCTGTCTAAGTAATCATATTATATCTGTCTGGTCATTAACACTGCTATGTACCTGTTTGTTTTTGAATGTACATTTTAACAGAGGGATTCAACAAATTGCACAAATACTTTTATTTAAACAGTTAATAAAACAATCGCCAATTGTGACTCTTTCCAGATCCCAGACAGTGGACAGAAAACCATGTGGCTGCGTGGCTAACGTGGACAGTGAACGAGTTCAGTCTGAAAAATGTCGACTTTGGCAAGTTCTGCGTGAACGGAGCCAGCCTGTGTGCGATGGGGATGGAGCGCTTCCTGGACTTAGCGCCTGACTTTGTGGGTGACATCCTTTGGGAACATCTAGGAATGCTTCAGAAAGGTAAGGCCACATTGGTCCGAAGACATATTTTCAGATTGTTTGTATTATTATTAGACGATTTTTAAGACTGCAACTGTTTTAAATCTCACATACAGTATGTGTACCACACAGGGTGATATTGCTGCTTGCACCAATTTAGGACACTGTTGGCATTTTCAATAGTAACAGGAGGCAAACAGGAAGATGCAATTTAGCTCAGGTCATTAATTTTTTATAATGCTGGATGCAGTTACACGATACATGGAAATCAATGGCGAGGTCACTGATGCTCGTTCTCTATCTATTTTTCATGAAGAGGATGCAAAGCATTACCCCATCAATGGACTGACCTCCAACTTCCAGGAATCCTGTTATACCTCAGACTACTTTGTCAGTAAGTACTCATCACACTCGTCGTCAATCACTGTGTAATAGCACAAGATCGGTGCCATATGAATGGGGGAAAAAAGAGGAGTGGTTTAGTGCTGTGAATGAAAGAGTTTTGGAATTTAATGGGAAAAGATCCCTTCGTCATTTTGATTTCCATATACAGTAAAAAGCCTGTTTAGCCATGTGCATGTATTGACCACATATCTTAGGAAACAATATGGCATCACGATAAGTTTTGCTAAAGTTAGATACACGTATGATCATCTTGCCTGCACAAGACTTATCTTCTGCACTCAGGGCTGTGTTTCGTTATGGACTATTCACACACTAAGCGTTTGGCACAAGATGGATTATGACTCGGCTCTCCTAAGATTGATCTTCCTGCTCTGCTCTGCTCTGCTCTGCTCCGCTCCGCTCCTTGCTCTCCGTCTCTGCTTTCTATCCACACTCATTTCCCTTTGTCTCTCCAGGCTACGGTGTTGAGCATGCTCAATGTGTCCCTCCTTCTGAATACTCAGAGCCCGGCTTCATCACGGAGTCCTACCAGACACTTCATCCCATCAGCTCGGAGGAACTGCTGACGCTCAAGTACGAGAGTGAATACCCCGCTGTCATCCTACGGGACACGCCCCTCAACCCGCTGCAGGGGGACTACTTCACCGTCAAGCAGGAGGTGGTGTCCCCTGACAACATGTGTGTGGGACGCCTCAGCAGAGGTGAGGGGTCGCACGCTAAATACGAGGCCTAGATACGTACTTGTAAGCAGAGCATCGCTGTGGAGAATGTGCTGCATTTCTGTTTTAATCAACACGTTGCTTGGATGGAGTGTTGCGATAAATGTGTCCGCATGCGAATTCATGTAAATGTTTTTGCGTGGGTGTCAGTGTGCGTGTGATTGTGCTGAGGCTACCAGAAACTTGTCATGCCACATCAACGTGCATGTATTAGAAGAGAAGAAAAGCAGGCCCTCTGGTTGGTTTGTGGTTTGAGCAAACCTGCCTCGAACACTCTAGACTTTAGGTTGGGAAAAAAAAAAAAGAGAACTATATTGTTTTTGTCAGTGTGATACACGAACCAAAGCCACAACCTGTTCTTGCCTCCCGTCCTTTATGTAAAGCAGTTCAAGTGGTGTAACCTTCAAGAACCTTTTTTTATTTTTTCTTCTTCTTGTTTCTGTTGGCCTCTTTTCCTCGACTTCTAGGTAAGGAGATAGAGGTGTCATCCTCAGCTAGCAAGTGTGGGGTTTTCTCATGAAACCGCTTTACTGAATGCGCAGGCTTGTTTTCTCTCCCAGCAACAGTTTACCGAGGAATCGGCAGCGTGGTTTACATTATTAGCCATAAAGCTAGGGTTTTCTTCTCACAAATCCCCAGCTGTATAAATGAATAGCATGTGCCATGTGCACACTGTGCGATCCTCCGCATTTGCCTACAAGGTACGAGGGCCGACCCTCATGCATCACACATAGCTTTTGAACATTGCGTTGTGCTCTCCTAACGTGGGAAAGTATTTTTGTAGCACTGCTGGTATCCACATGTGGCTTCAATTTAAGCAGTTGAAGATTTGGGCATCAATAGGAGGGGCTGCATTATCTGTCATTTGATAATGACTCGTCATTGAATGGCTCCTCTTATCTTTTCCCAAGGCTAAAAATAGCAACGCAATTTGTGTGAATGTCTTCCATTTTAAAGTCAAATCCATATGGTGGTTGCAAAAGAGAAATGAGGTGTGAAATGGAGAAAGACGTGGCCCCATACAGAGCAATATAGCTTAGTGAGTGGGAGCATAATTTACTGTTAGGTGTTGTTTACAACAATTATAATTCTTATGCATTGAAGATATCACTTTGAAAAACAGCTACACATATATTTTTTTGAAATTTCTAGAGGAAGAGGCAGAGAGAGGAGTCTTACATTATACAAATTCAGGCTTTATTCAAGGATTTTTAAAATGTGACTTGCTATAAAATGTACAGTTTGAACCTCTGTTACAACTTCATTTCTCCTTGTCTTGCCATCTCCGCCCGTCCTTTCCTCTTTAGGTAAGCTCGGTGGCCAGGACTCCTTCGAGAGCATCGAGAGCTTTGAGAGCTGTGACCGCTTGACCCAGTCATGGAGCAGCCAGTCCTCATTCAGCAGCCTGCAGCGGGTACCTTCGTACGACAGCTTCGACTCGGAAGACTACCCCGCTGCCTTGCACAGCCACAAGCCCAAGGGCACTTTCAAAGACTATGTGAGGGAGCGCTCAGACCTCAGCAAGGATAAACCCGTCATCCCAGCGGCTGCACTGGCAGGATACACAGGTAAGAGCTGTCTATAGGTCATAGTTTATACACTATCGTTATATATACAGTCCTACCTCGAAAAAGTGCTGCGGCTTTTTACAGACCGTTTTACAGCAGACATTTAAAAAATGTCACAGCAGGGAAATCACAGGGTAAGCAATAAAATAAATCAAAGCTCTGTTCCATGTAGGTGTGCCAGTAAGCTGGCCAGATCCCAGGGTTGTGATACTGCTACACATAAATGGAATGTAGAACTGTAATATTTATACCTATATTATCATCATAGTATTATTAAATATAGTTACTTATTTACAATAAAATATAATATTGGTGTTTGTAATAATACAATTATTTTTTCTGTAATTTGGGTAAAGTATTCTCAAAACGGATCTAAACAAAACACTTAGTTCCTGCCACCAGTTCTTAATGATTAAGATGCAGTGCTCTGCCCCCAGATGTGGAGGTGCCTTAATGCACTGCTTTTAGACCAGAAGAGGAAAAACAAACCCCGAGTCATGCACATTACAGGAAGCAAAACAGATTTTGCTTGTACCGTCTTCGTTTTTTCTTCTCTCTCTCTCTCTCTCTCTCTTACTCTTTTGTTCTGTCTTCACTTCTCAACCACCTCCTTATTATCTGCAGCCCGCATCTCAACCTATTTTTTCCAGGTCGTCCTAGCAACGCCGGCGAAACATAGAAATGATGCCTGCACATAACAGCAGAGAAAAACATACATATATTTATATACATCTTTATCTCAAGAGGCATCTTCGTACTCGTACATGCTCAAAGAAGGCGGCTTACGTGTGTTCTCAAAGTTCAATGCGACGTGGAGATATCTGCACGCTCTTCTGAAGCCAATGCACTATTTCAGCAACTACTGTTACTACTTTTAACAGTTCACATTGAAACCACATGTTGCATAAGAAAATAGATATTACGCCTTTGTATTCACGAGTCAAGGATTTAGTTCAACTCTTTAAGACATACACGGCTGTTTACGGTTGGATTGTGAGGAGCCTCTTAACGCCATCGTGTTTGGGACTTTTTCAGCCATGTTTCAATTGTAGTCACAAGGCTGCAGGAGTGCCAGCATTGGAAAAGGGGAAATCCGAGAAAATGTCTCAATGTCACCAACAGTGCATACATCAGACCTCGACGGACTGTCCTAAAGTTGGTATGCACAAGTTAAATGGTCAACTGTATGGTTGTTAGCTCGAAAAGCCTCTTATAGAACAATGAGTCATTCATGATGTTGGAAAGATGTCGTAATGCACATAATCAAATGATGAGGAGAAAGACGCAGTCTAAGAGCCCCTCTAGTGACCATTAGAGGATGCATTGCTCCCTGCACCGTCTTTGACAAAAGTGGACTGAACCAAGAATCTGAAAATAAATGACGAATAATAAATATGACGCATCAGCCGATAAATTCAGGACGAACGAGAGAGATTCGTACACCTTCTAGATTTGTGTTACCTTGATGAGGAGTTTATAAACAAGCTATGACGACATTCGCCATTATGAGATAAGCTTTGACAATAATTTTGTACTCTATCAAAATATAAACCTGAGCATGAGGAAATATCTTCTTTCAAAAATCTTTTCAAATGTACCCCACAGCTTTCTGGCTCCATTTACCGCTTCAATCTTGACGTCTGACATATATCGGTTGTTACGACAGGATAGATGACTCCAGAGAGCTCATGTGTGAAAGCCTGGCGAGTGTTCCCAGCCTAATGCATAGTAATGTACTCGCACAGAGGAGAATGTGCTTCCTCTGAGCTTTTACAAGATGGGGAAAAGGGAGATTGAGGAAGGAAGATGAAAAAAATAAAAAGAAATATCACACTAAAATACCCACATTTTCCTGAAAGAGAAAAATGTCAAACAGCCTGCAGTCCAAGCTGTTATTAGGAGCAGCGCAAGGAGAGTGTAGTCCTTCAAAGATGGAAGCTTTATTTGATTGTACATGTGTGTGCCTGCCCATGCGCATATGTGTGGGGAGAGAGAGAGAGAGAGAAACCAAAAAATTGTAAGATTCCAAATTGATGCTTGCTCTGCTCGGCTTCCTGCACCAGTCACGGGCTGACAGGTGACACTTGACAGAGCGCCTGATAAGGCTGCAGAGAGATTGTGAAGAAGTGAAGCTCCAGTTGTCATCTCAACGGTTTCCTGTGACAATTTGCCATTTGCACCTCTGTCTACAATAACATCAGGCGGCCTTACAACACCGTGAACTCTCAATCTGTATCGTTGATACTTTGCTTTCTCTATTCTCCGGCTCCCGTCTCACAAGTACAAATATACACATGCATACCGAGGTACTTATTTTGCATTGCTACTAGATGTAGTCATGTTGTATGTATTGGTAAAAATATTGATAATTTATTGCACAAAGTTAAAACACTACATATTAGCTGGTGTCACCTTTTCAAATATGAATACCTTTTTTTTTTTTTTTTTAATTATTATTTTACATTTACAAAAAAGTATTCCATACATTACTCCTCAGTTGCAGCTCCACTCACCACCCAGCTTTCTTGCTGTGGCTGCATATGCTCAAGACTCATTTATCATACCTCGGGTCAGATTCTTAACTCTGATGCGAGCCCCCACCACACCCACCCCTTTGCCACACTATGCTTTTTCAATGAGGCCCATTGTGCATGGAGACATTTAACATATTTTTGGAAACTTTTTGTCAAAGGGGGGTCGCCTCCATTCTGGCGTGAGAGCACGGGGGGCTGGTAAACGGGCACTGTGTCACCCTTATGTGGGCTCGCTATTACAGTGGCAGACTTTTGGAATGCGAGTCGAAGCTTTCTGTCTGAAAGAGACTCAGTGTTGCACAGCCACTTATTTTCCAAAGTTTTGGCGGCTGTTGTCATGCACCTTCTCCAAATCCTTGCAGGAGTAAAGGAAGGCTCACATGCACCATTTCAAGTGTTCAAACCCACACGTCTGTTTCCCTGAAAGCTTTTGTTCGTGTTGTATAAGGGCACATTTGGTTTTCTGAGGCTCGAGAGAGAGAGGGGACTTTTGCGTAGCTTCAATTTTGCTGAGGCGGTGTGCTGCATAGGCAGGTGTGATTTCAACTTGCGAGCCTCAAAAGTGGGTGGTTGAGTGTGCTGAAAAACCACAACATCAAAGTGCGCTGCCTTGTATCTAGTTCAGAGAGGAGCCCTTTTTTTGGTTATCTTTGTTCTGCTTTCCCTCCTTTTTTTTCCCTCCACAATATCTAATAAGCTGTTGTAATAGCGCTGAAGTTCACTTTTAACTGGTACTCTTTATTCATGAATCCATCGCGACATTACAGACAACTTAGCAACCGCTGTCTTTCTCACACGCAGTCTGCATTCAAATCCCTGAGATGTGTTGCTGAAGTCTAAAGGCAGCCCCTCTTATTTTTAAACGAGTGATTTCATCAGTATGGAACTCATACAGACACAGACTCTAGATTCACATACTGCACAGGGCGACTGCCAGACAAAGGAATGCATAATGAAAGGGACTGTTGTATTTAGGAGGACATTTAGTTCCACTGCTGTACTTCAGTCTGACCCACATTAGAAGGTTTACGTTGTCCCTCTTCAGACATAAGTGAATAATTGGCATGCATATTTAACACATACATCATGCATGGCCGAAGTATAAACTGTTGAGACACCTTTCACTTTTCAAGGATTTTCACACTCCTCTTGTCCTTGCAGTGCATTAACAGAGTATAGACTGCGTAGTTTTCTGCGATGTCTCACTTTTGTATATTCTTCCCAAAAATGTGTTTAACCAATCAATATACCATATATGCAATGTATTATTATCTATAATACAGTATTTGGAGCATTGAACTAATAAAAAGACTGCAGAACTTGAGAATTTAGTCCGGGTCTTCATATCTTTGCCCCAACATTAGCGTTATTTAGTTAAGTCCACACACCGACCTGTGTCTCCTCAGTGTAAATAGCTTGTTTTTAATGCACACTTTCTCTCCCTCCCCCATCCGTCCTGCAGGCAGCGGCCCCATCCAGCTGTGGCAGTTCCTCCTGGAGCTTCTGACCGATAAGTCTTGCCAGTCCTTCATCAGCTGGACAGGCGACGGCTGGGAGTTCAAGCTTTCTGACCCAGATGAGGTGAGAGGTTGTGACTCCGCTGGTCACTGGTACACATGCTGGGAGGTCCTAAGTAGTTAGCCAGATGAACAAGATGTCTGCTGCCTTTTTAAAAACAAAAACGTTTCGCTCCATCAATCTTTTTGGAAAGGGTTGCTGGTTTTACATTAGTAGTGAAATGTCAATGAATACATTCTCAGAGATTACCATATAAAAAAGTGTGGCTTTGATTTGAAATAGTTTGTTACACATTCATTATATCGTTAGTGACACATCTTGACGCGCTTATTTCTTGCATTGTTTTAGGTTGCTCGGAGGTGGGGCAAGAGGAAAAACAAGCCCAAGATGAACTATGAGAAGCTGAGCCGTGGCCTACGCTACTACTATGACAAGAATATCATCCACAAGACATCGGGGAAACGCTACGTCTACCGCTTTGTCTGTGACTTAAAAAGCCTGCTGGGGTACACTCCCGAGGAGCTCCATGCAATGTTGGACGTAAAGCCCGATACGGACGAGTGAAAGCAAAGACGAAACGGGAAGTGAAGACGAAAGTTAGAAGACACATGGACAGGGGCTCATGAAGTGGTCTTAACTATTTTGATAGAGTCGGTAAACCGTTTTTTTTGGGGACCAAAAAAATGTTTTTAATGACCAACTGTGGTCTTTGTCAACTTCAAGCTCCTGTCTCTCAGACCATGTAAAAAGAAGGCACAAGCCAAAAGCCTGTATTCATACCCTGTTGCATTTGAGATGTGTGTGCGCATGCGTGTGTGTGTGAGCGTGCGTATGTGTGGTTATGTACCTGTATTATTTAGCAGCTCAAGGCAGATGGAGCACTATCGGGTAGAGTTCAGGTTCCGTTATGCCTAAGTAGCACAGTGGGGAGACGAGAGGACCACGACAGAAGGTCTGAGATAACCCAGACAGAAAATAATAGATCCAGTTAATTGTTGGGGTAGAGCGGGCAGAAGACGAAAAAAAAATGGGTTGCCAAAAATGTTTAAACCAAACTAAGGAAGGTATAATGACATATTTACATAAATGCTCAGTGTCTCTCATTGGCAAAGAGAATATTCAGCTTGGACCAAAAAGTGTTGTTTTTCATTTGTTGTTTGAGGAGCGTATGCTTGCGCCAGTATTATAGTATTGATGTTGAGAACACCCAATGTAGACCTACTGGGCATATATTGGAAAGGGTATTTTTCTTATGTTGTCAATGACGGTATTACAGTGGAACCAAACATTAGATGCCAAGTGTATCTGATCTGTTCTCCAGGAGCCTTTAACTGAAATGTGCTGATTCGTTATCAGACGACACTATAGACACTGGCCCTGTGCTTTGTAGGCTTTTAGGACATGGTGAGATTACTCATACCAAAAGGTTTTGATAGACAGACAACTGAAAGTAGCCGTTGCTTTTGAAACTGACGCTTTCACCTTTTACTTACATGTTTGCCACCTTGTTAGACACACATATTGTGAAACTTGTGCATTTTTTGCATAAACCACCAGTATTAGCAAACTGTAGACAATCCATGTGGGGGAATTCAGGAGTCTTTGGTAAGAAGAGTTGTTTAATATGCAGATTAGATGCATAATTTGTCGGTTCACTGTCTGTTTCTGTTGCTTTAGAGGTGTTTGAATAGTCTCCTGTCTTATCTGTCGATATAATAAAATCACAAGTGAAATAGTCAAGGGAGTGATTTTACAAAATCCTAAGAATGTCAGAATTTATTCTTTATTTTTTTTCTTTTTTTTTCTTATGCAGTACATTTTGGCCATGAGGACGCAGCTGCAGAATGCAGTGTGGAGGTACAGTGTAGGAAACAAAGAGGGACAGGCAATAGAAGAAAAGGTTGACTAGAGAGAAGCGGACGTTTTGTGAGATAGATGAAGGGGGACTGAAAGGAGTCCGTGGATACCACAGGTGATGATCAGTTGTAAGGTCTGACGGAGAAAGACTTGGAAGTTTGCATTACATGGGTTGTGTTCTCCATTTTCCACTGCCATTGTAGTTCGATGCAGCTGAAGCCTCGTTGCAAATAGGAGGCATGTAGGACTAGTGGCAGACATTTGTAAATACTTTTTGGGTTAGTGTTTTACTTATCTATGAGCAAAACAATATTCAGTTCATAGTGAGGAACTCATTTACGATTCCGCCCATACCAGTGGGAACAGTGGGTGCACGCTGGTTTCATGGGAAAAGCCAAAGTGGAATATCATCTTAGAATACAATGTTATTGTTTACAATGGCTGAATGTTACCCATATGGATGAAAATGTTGTCTATTTGTACAGATTGTATTTCATAATGCTTTATTGAGACCCAGATTACACAAATAAGCAAGAGACAAAGCAGGAATAATAACCAAAACCCTTGTGAGGTCTTTGGCCGCGGTGCTTCGCGTATCGTCCACGATGTCGGAAGACAGGGACCAGAATTTTCTCACACTTTTGGAAAGTGTTGACTTCTATTTGATCTTTTTGTTTAATGTGTTGGAAAGCACACACGCTTTAGGACAAAGAGGAATGCCTTTCGCTGGTCTGGGTTTAGAAGAGAGATGCTGGATATGTCCATTATGTTTGATTGGTAGCAAACTTCATCAAGCACACTGACTCACAAACCCTCACCCATGTTCGTCATCCGACACAAGGAATTAGACAAATGTATTAGTAATAAGCTGCACAGTACTTTCATTCTTCTCTGCATGTTGATGTCAAGGTTCCAAAACACTGTTATCTTTGTTTTGTTCAGGTTTCCTTTTCTGTCTGATGTCAGTGTTTTATATTGGAGAACTTTCCAGATTTTTTTTTATCATAATTGTAATGGTTGTCGATGCCCTGGAAAAAGTGACCCCCCCCCCCACACACACACACACACACACACATATACACATACACACACAAACAAGGTCATAATATCTGTATGGTTGGCGTCACAAGATTAATGTGCTAAAAGAAAACATTTTGTTTCCTAAAATGTAGGTATTTTAAAATTTATTATGTCAGGAAAATATTCTATTGTTCAATGTCACAGATTACAATCTACTGCAGGTCTTATGTATTAATGAACCTTAGTCAGGCAAGTGTATACACACCAGTAGTTTGTGGCATATGCATATCTCAGAATGGATTCAGAAGGAAAACTTTTTTGTTTTGGATGTTTTTTTTTTTTTTTTGTATATTTTATAGTGTCTCTGTATTTTTGTTATGAGATCATTTTTATTGTATTTAGTTCACAAACATTTGAATATTTTTCAATAATTTATATTTTATAAAAGACAAGAGATGCAGACAGCTGGTGCTTTCATGGGAATATAAAGGTAGCGCAGGACAAAATATTGTAGCGATTTGTTTTTGTTTTGTATTCTTTTTTTTATATAGAAAATAGACCTGTCTGCTAGAGAAAAAAGGCTGATGCTGGCCCATCAATGATTTCTGCTGGAAAGGTTTTATAAACTGTAGCTTCTATTTCTAAAATGTACTTAATGTACTTCAAAATGTTATAAAATATATGTGAACAAAGATTTAATACTCTGCGTGGTGTTACTGTTTTGAATTATGAGTACACACTATTATACTGAGTAGTACTATATATTACTATAATATACTGGCTTTGCTATACTATTTATAAACATAGTCATTGTAGTAAATTTCACAGTTTTGTATGGCAAAATTGTGCTACTGTATTATTCTGCAGGACATGGTGTGGTCTAAGATGTGATGTTGACAAAGTGTTTGATACAGTTCAACATTAAGCCAGAACACAATTTACAGAGCTAGTAGAAGTAAATCACAGCGATTCTGAACAGATACAAGAAATTATGAATTGAACTCTGTTGTTGGTAGACAAACCGATATATATATACATACATACATACATACATACATTTAGTAATATATTGATAGATAGTTTTAATTAACAGTTGATTCTGCAACAATCCGTAACTCAAAGTGGCACAAATTAGTCAGACAAATCGGTGTATTGTTCAAATCAACACACTCTGGTCCTTCAAAGGGGGCCTAGTTCCTTTTGAAATCCATGCGGGCCACGGTGTCACAGTTTTAACGAGTGTGTCCCATGCGCACTGATGAGGTGACGTCAAAAACAGAACCAGCACACTGGGGCCCATTCATGTGCTTGTAACCCCGGGCTCATATAAATTCCACTGTAGATAAAAACATACAGGGCCATGGCCTGCTGCCCCACACAGCACAGCTGTTTGGCCCCGCTGCAGCAGTCTAGCAATACGGCCAAAAGACAGGTCCAGTAGACTGCTTATCCCTTTTACAAAATCTGGATGTAGAAACAGAACACGATAGAAATATATTTTCAATGTCAACATCATTTTAGAATTGTCTAATGTTTTACAATGTACAAAGCAATGTGAAAATGAGAACGATGCTGATGAAATAAAGCACACATACTGTATACATCACATAAAACAGAATATACTGTACATACATGACAGATTTAACATATTTCACATGTAACCCCAAAGCAAACATGATAGAGCCATCCTCTGTTAAAATCAGAGCCATATTTTCCTGTTGGTGGTGTTCTTGGCGGAGGCCAGGCCGAGGTCACGCAGGTGGTTCTTCTCCTATTCCACCTCCCTCGCTCTGACTGGGCTCATGATCCAGACCAGACGGGATCGCTTGGCAGGTTTTTAAATACTTGCCAGGGCAGCGCACGTTCAAACAGACCTGGAACAAAATCAAAAACCATTATGATACCATTCATACCTGCTTATTCCACATCCAAACCCAGACACAAAGCTGGCCTCGCTCATGCAGCCACACTTGTCCCGCCCCCCTTCTCCTCTGTGCCTCCTTCAAAGAAAGCCTCCACTGATTTAAAGAGGTGTTTAAAAGTGAAAGACAGCCGAGAGAGACATAAAGAGAAGAGGAAGTCGGTGCAGAGAGCGAGAACTGTCACACCTGGCAGTCGCAAGAAAGATGTCGGATGATTTCTGACAAAAAAGTCAGGAGAGGCAGCATTTCACAGCTCTCTTGACACTGGAATGCAACCCGTTTGTCAGAATTCAAACCTAAATATTTATCTAAAGCGTCTTACCAAGCTACGTCTGTCTCCTGCATGGAGTCTTAGCATGAGTGAGAAAGACAGCGGGAGATTAAACGATGCACTGGTGTAGCGTTGGTGATGTTGGGAAATACTAGCTGCATTGCAATAAAAACTTGAACCTCTGGAGTGAATTTATCAGGTGAAATCAATTAGTCATCATAAATTCCCTCTGGATTCAAGTCGGTTGAATTGAAGGATTTGTGTTTTGAACAAGATTTTATTTATTTATTTTATTATTAAATATTTTTTAAGCTCAGTAGCAGAGCTGTCAGTTGGCACAATTGCTTGCAGAAGTGCACACAGCGTGTCTTTTGCCTTTGATCAAGTCTTAATTAGCAGCATTGAAACAAAATAATAGACACTGTGGCTGTGCCAAATTAAAGAATCAGAATCAAATCAAATTGAAAATGTAGCAGCTAGTAGCAAAGGTTTTGTGGTCCAGTAACTTGTAATAGATTTTGTCAATCTGTCCTCAGCTTTTGCAATCTAAATGAATTGTAAAGATCAGTGCAGCAGAACTGGTAGTAATGACACCGAATTAAAGCCTGATCTTCCTCTGGCTCCAAAGAAAATGTTGAATAGCATCTTTCATTTTCGGGACATTAATAGATTCAAAGATCTAACAATGGGTCTCACATTATCACACAGTCTAGAAATGTATCACTGCAAAATCTCTGTCAACTTCAGTCGTAATGATTTAAGAGTCTACATTCTTTGGATTTAAGACCTAGTGGACCTTCTGCTATGATTAGGATGATAGGATGTCCTTGCTGTCCTATAACCCTCTTTGTAGAAAGAGAATCCCTGTGACGCACAAGAGACCGGCTCAGTTGTTCCATTACGCAGAGGAGTTGTGAAATATGACCGATGTGTCCCAGAGAGCCCTGATGGGCCAATTTAAGACACAGTTGCCTGGGGATGTATTCATGTCCTATTGTCCCTCATGGCAGGGGTGACTTGGGCCAGTATGGACTCCAGTGGTGTTCAGGGACTGAAGTCAGATTTACCGTGTCCTCTCAAATATGACCCTTCTCACAGATTTTGGGGAGAGAGAGAGACAGATATCAGAGAGTTGGGAGTTGATAGATAGGCTTGTTTGAAAATGTTGTTCTTAGTAAATGTTGTTCTTACTCATATAGTCTTAACGGTATCAGAGATAATGGCTTTAAGTGAAGATGACATTCACATGGTTACTGTATTGCACTGTAAACTAGATACAGTGTATTGCCATTACAGTGCTCTAAGTCTCTCTGCAAAAGTGACCTCAATTGCTGCACAGAACAAGCAGCAAACCTGAATCCTGCTTCTCGTGTTGAAGTTCTGATTTTCTAAGTGATCAAACTGCTTACAGGTATTTTCACAGGTTCACAGTGTGGGTGATTGATAATTGATGTGGTGTTTCAATGGCAGAGTTTAGCAGACAGCATATGTTAAGACTAAAGTAAGCGGGTGTAGTTATTTGCAAAAAAATGTTTTTTTAGAATTTTAAACTTGGTGTCCTGTCTTTGTGTGTTTTTTTCCCACCTTTATGATTGCCTGCCCCGCCCTGATTTGGTCCTCCTGTGTCTAATCACCCTGCTCTCCTTGTGTATATAGTCTGTGTGCTTTGCCTCTTTGAGTGTCAGGTTGTCTCAGTTTGTTACTGGTGTTCCTCTTGTGACACCGGTTTGAGCTCAGTTTAGTTTTTCCTTGTTGCTTCAGCCTGCTCCCTCAGTTTTGTATTTTGCTACCAGCTTTGTGTTATTCAAGCTCGCTTTTTGTTTATTTTACCTGCCTGCCTGGTGTCTTACATTTGTGTCCACCTTTTGAACTGAAACTGTAAACAAGTTTTGTCACAAAAGTTTTAGTAGTTTTTGTTGTTGGAATGGATAAAAAGAAAAGGTGGATAACCTGAACATCCAACCTCAGTACAAAATGCATCTATTCAATATTTGGGAGTTTGGACATTTCTGTGTAATGGCAACATCTAATTTGACCTACGTATGTGTCACTTTTTATTGCAGCTGAAGTATCTTGAATGAGATAAACAGACATATATCCCTACCTTTTAGCAAATGCTTTCACTTTTACCTACATACTGTATATGACGGAGAGGGTTATTTTAGATTTAGAGTTCAGATAGCTCCAGGATAAATCATGAAAAAGGCAGTCAAGCCTTTCTGGGCGTGTTTGCTCTCTAACATTAGTGGACAAGCTTTATTTTGTTCTCGGTTCTCGCTTGTTTACTTCCACAAATATCAGCTCTTTGCCACCAAATGAGTGAGATGCACTGGCTAGGCAAACTTTAAAAGCTGCTGCAGATTTCTGCATAGGATTAAGAATCTGCATACATTTCTAAAACAAATGAAACATAACGGAGGCTATTTGACAAACCAATAATGGCTACCACAGATAAAACTACACCTTTCTAAGCTATACCACCTATGGTCTCAATGTTTGTCACATACTCCGTACCTCTCCTGATCCTCGCCTCCTCTCATTCCTTGTATTGTTGTGTCTGAGATGTGTTGAACCACATGTCTTGGCAGGTGTGGTGACTATATTATCCAGGCTTATGAAGGGCAGATCCAGGCCATCCTCGGCTTTGGCTGGTAATTTGCATTTTTATTGCCGTTGTCGCATCCTCAGTTAATACACCATTGACTCCCGGAGACACCCCTGGACCTAACGGCATCACCCTGCTATCCCACCTGAAATGAGAGTGCCCGCAGGCCCCCGGATCTTCATTGGCTGGAGCTCAGGTACCAGTCGACCTGGCATTCTGGGACGGAAATGGAGTGTCCTCTCATGTTAATGTGGACTTTCCATTAGGAAAGATGATTGATTTGTGCCGTGCTGTTGCTGTGAATAGGCAATAGACTGGCACAATAAAAGAGTGAGATGGGGCTTTGTGTGCAGGTGAGGCCTCGTGTGAACTAGAGTGTGACTGAATCAGGGTGCTGATGATGGGGGGGGGGGGGGGGGAGGGGAGGGGGGGAAGAGAAGAGGGGGTTTGGAGATGGAGACGTAGAGGGATGAAAAAACTGAATAGAAGGCTGAATACGGGAGGGTGAAGGTTCGGGGGTGAGAAGGAGCGAAGGAGGAGCGGAGGGCTTAGAGGTGCAGAGGCATGGGGAGATGAGTGGTGGGAGATGGCAAAGGTGTGGAGGCTCTCAACTGCATTCATTTCACCGTTTCCAAACTAGATGAAAGAAGACAGAGAAGAGGTCTTGAAGACAACTTTCTTTTCGAACAAAATATTATTCTTAGGTTTCCTTTTTAGAGGCAATTCAATTGGTATTAATTTGAACACCAATTAATTTGAAATGTTTAGTTTTACTTGTATATCTGGATCATTTAGAGACGTTGTAAAAGTGTTTGTACAAGCGCTGCTAGAGAGAAAGAGAGGGAGAAAGCAGCTGGACTTAAACAGGTTTTGGTCACTGTCCAGTTGAACAAGCAAATGT